GGGCCGGGCCCTCCCCTTCCTGCCCCCCATCCCGAAGTGCCCGGCTCCGTCAGGGCCGCTCGCACATCTGGGCTTCGCGTCGCTTGGCTTTCTATTCTTGTTTCTGGAAAAAGCTATGGGGGTTTTCCCGGCAATCCGGCAGATAGGCCGCGCGGTTGGAATGTATCGCGGGGTTTCTGGGGGAGAGGAGTTGCAAAAAAACCTGGAGGTGACAGCCTCCAAAGCTGTGAGGCAAACCTCTTTAAAAAAAAAAAAAAAAATCCATCAGAGCGAAACGCTTTTTCTCCGCTTGGGTAAATATAAGTGTGACTGTGATGTGTCAGATCAATTTCTGAAAAAAAAAAAAAGCTTGATCACTTAACAGTACGAGTTGCAATGTCTGGTCATATTTAATAGCTCACTAGCTGTCTAAATCGAAAGGCAGGTAAAGAAACCTTTGTGACTGACTTAGTGTCAGATGAATGATGCTGTTTGGTGTAATGCTGTATTTTCACAGAACAGTTTGAGCTGGAAGGGACCTTTAAGGTTTATCTAGTCCAACCCCACAAATTTTACATTGCTTTAGGAGCTGAGTAGATAACAGTTTTGTATGTACTCATAAAGGCTCTTCAGCTGCACTGGTCTTGCCAGGAGTATCACATTAGTTCGCATTTTAGTTTGGCTTGTTTTGTGTGCAGCATATGGAAACTATTAATGCCACTGCCTTATTAAAGATCAGGGATTGTTTTTCATTGTGTCTCCACAGGCTTCTTACCTCCCATAACTCCTCCAGAAAAATTCTTTCTTTCTCAGCTGATGTTGGCCCCTCCTAGAGAGCTGTTCAAGAAGACTCCTCGGCAGATTGCATCAATGGACGTGGGGAACATGGCCCAATCGGTGGATATAAGTGGGCTTCAGCTGGCCTTAGCAGGTAAGGAGGATTTGCGGCTGACGTTCACTTACGCGTGGAAATGCTCATTCTCTCAGTTACCTGAGAAAGACTGTTGTCTGTCCTGTGAGAAGTTGAGCTGTGTGTTAGGGTCTTCAAGCCCACGTTCAAGCACGTGGAGATGCTACAAGCAGAGTACTATTAACTGTTTTATCTTACTTAATAAGCACCTTTTTAAGCATATATGTCACTGCCTTAAACATGAGGACATTATGCAGGTATAGGAATATTGTCATCTAAAGCTTTATGGCATTTTAGGGGAGTGATTATTTTTTGGATGTAGTTTTTTATCCTGTTTCACTCTTTGCAGTATTTCTCGTGTGAGAGAACAAGCATAACTGTCATGCTGTCACATACCAGTACTTAAAACTGTACCTGGCAAATTGGCTAATTATATCTTCAGTTTCTAAAATACAGTCAGATCTTGCAGCGTTAGCTCAAGAGTGGGAAGATGGTCTGCTTTTACTATATTGAAAAGAAAAGCAATGCGATGCTTATCCTTTGACAGGAGAGAAAGAACAGGAACATGATTGTTCTGATCACGTTGACTGATGAGTCACATCTGGAGCTAATCTGAAATAGAAAATTCTGGAAAATGGAGCCAGTTTGAACACCAAAAATAGTGGGGGTTTTTCTAGGTATGTTCAAATTGACTTTCTTGAAAACTGACCATCCCACTTCTGTATCTCTGCAATGTGGTTTATTGCTCTGCGGGCAGGTGCTGACGAGGCTTTCTCCATCCTCCAGTTGTATTTGTATTATCTTAATTTTTCCTGTAGAATCTGGTGTTGACTGCTGTGATATACTGTTCTGTGTTCACAGCATACAAGTGTACTCTGGTGTCCTCCTTAGCTACTATTTCCAGATTCTGGGATCTTTTGAAAATGCAAACTGAATACCCTGAAAAACCATCACGGGGTAGACAAACTCTTCTGCTTCTTGTCCTTGTTTGTCCTTTCTGTGTTTTTTAGAATACTTTAGTGAATTTAGATTTTGTGAAACTTCAGGGAACTTGTGATTTTTAACATAAGGCATCTGGGATGCCTTAAAGAGGCCTGGAACTTTTTCATTTGTTTGTATTTGTTTTCCCCTCGGTACCATTTCTCTTCTGAACAGGTTTTTTTCATTAAAAGCTGTAGAGAACCTAAAAACTGTAGTGGTATGGATGGGTAGTCTAGGCCCCACACTTTCAACTTGACCCTCTTGAAATACAAGACACTGATGGTTTAAAGTATGCTACAGAGTCATTACTGGTACTTTGCAAAGTTAAGCCCTGTAAGATGCACTTGTATCATTATGTACACAATCCAGTAAATATGCAAAATTAATTGCTTAGGAGCAGTTAATAGTTGTGTAACAAAACAAGCTGCATCTGGAAAAACTTTATGCTGCCTTTCTCAGACTTCTTCCTGTAGCTCCCTAGAATAAATATATGTTTTCTGTTAACTTTCTTAGAAGACAAGTCTCTTCCTCATTTTAATACTGATATTAATATTTAATATTGTGATATTAAAACCCTGACTGTTCATCATGTTTTGGAAGGTCTGTGAGTTTTTCACAAGTCTTCAGTGTATTTTTCCTAAGGATTCAATATGCTGGATGAAGCCAGAGCAGGATGCTTAGATTCAGTGTTGGAGAAGTTGCATTTCATAGACTCACAGAACGGCCTCGGCTGGAAGGAACCTTAGAGATCATCTAATCCAACCTCCCTGTCATGGGCAGGGACGCCACCTCTCGACTAGACCAGGCAACACATGGGGACCGAGTGGGAATCGAACCCGCGACAGCGGTGTTGTCCTTGTTGTCAGCACCGTGCTCAAACCACTGAGCTAACCGGCCCCCAATTACACCCTTTCCCCTGTTATTTCACAGAACATAACAGCTGTTAAGAGTTGGTGGCCCTTCAGAGTTGTGATACCTGCAACAAATGCAGGGCTCTTTAGAGCAGGATGACTTTGACTTGCTTTAGAATATACCTGCAAAATCAACTTAAATAATTTAGAAAGCATTACATTTTTTCGGTAAATAACTTGCCTTGTCTTCTGAACTTGAGCTTGTTGTGGCAATTCACTTGCGGCTCTATGGTGTTTTTTCTAGTTTGTTTCATTTTTTATTGTTAGGGTTCCCTCCCCTCCCTGGAAAAAGAAGAATGTTGGAGTGGAGCTTCTTGTAAATGAGTATTAAAACTTGCTTTGTTGTCTTTTCCCTGTGGTCTACAGAAAGTTCATTTAAGACTTGGCCTTTCCCTGTAACTTGATTTTGTTGATCTGATGTGTTACTGCATCAAAAATGTCCTTTTCTTCTAGTTGTAGGGGTGCATCTTCTAGCAAAGTGCTCCTGACTATTTGTCTGCTGACCCTTATTTGATCTTAGAGCAATTGACCTGTATGAAAGTTGTTTGCAATTCTTTGATTCTTACAGTAAAGCTCTACAGTGTAAGTTTCTCTTCACCTGTTAAATGAAGAAAAAAACCCCAAACCTCCATAAGGGAACCTAAGTGATTGTTTTCAGTTTTTTGGGGTTTTTTTGTTTTGTTTTTTTTTAAAATTTACATGTCTTTCTTCAAGATGCTGTATTCTTTCCTGTTAAATCACTATGTTCTAATTCATGCTGCTGCTTAGCTGAAACTTAACCCACACAGCCACTTGCTTGCTCCTATCCCCACCCAGCGGGATGGGGAGTAGAACTGAAAAAAAAAGTAAAACTTGTGAGTTAACTGTCTAATAAGTAAACTAAAATATAACAAGAATAATAAATTTAGTAATATTGTTGGCTGAGGTTAAACCATGATGAAGTTCTAGACTATAAATGAAAAGACTTAAAAATAAGATGCCAAATATGTTTTGATTTGTGTTTCTAATAGAACTTCATATGTTAAATCAACCCTTCTGTTCAGTGGTTAAATGAAAGGACTTAGGAGATGGGATTTGAAACAGTTTGTAAAGTAGAGGACACGTTTTACAAAACTGCTCTTTTGGACTTTGACTTCAAAATGATTTTTCTGAAAATAACTGGAAAGTATGCTTGTTGCTTTTAACAGAAAAACATTCCCTGCTGCACTGCTTCAGCGAGTGTACATGCAAACGTTTGCCTGGTCTGAAATAATGGGATCAAGTCAGACAGAAAGCCAGAAGAGAAATCAGCCACGGATGGTGCTTTGCTTTGACGATCCTTTTGTCACTCACAGTTTTGGCATCTCTCAGGGATTTGGTTGGAGTCACATGAAGCAGTTCCTGCACATGAGAAGCCGGGAAGGGTCAGCGTGGTTGCACAGAAAGTTGCCGAGTGCGCTTTGTTTAGAGGCAACGGGGACACGGACTGTCCCCGTTGCCTCTAAACAAAATCTGATGATGCTGAGCTTGATTAGTCAGGAAAAGTTGTGCTTAGTTTCATGTGAATTTTTTTTTTTGAGGGATTTTGGACTTTGGATTCTGTAAGGCTTAATTTGCTGCTTAATATTCTCTGTTAAGGGCTGACGGGGGAAGGAGTGTCAGGTGGTATTACAATAGTGAGGGGTTTTTTTCTGGTTTTTGTCTGTTAGGGTTTTGGGGATTTTTTTGCCAAAGCAATGGAAAACATGGTTTCTCAAAGTAGTGCAGAGAATACAGAAGATCAACCATTAGGTCTTCAGACATGGAGGACTGATAGATTGTAATGGGAGAACACCTAAAATCCTGACAAAGCGAGTACTGAGCCCGTAGTTTCTTTTTGGATGATTTCTTCAAGTCTTCGGCTGTATATATGAACCTCAATGTTATTTTTATGTAATTTGTTTAGGTTCCTTAATTTGGCCTTTAAAGGGATGCTTTCAACTCCTCTCAGGTTTGCTTTAATGACAATATATGGAGAATCTCCTAACAATTAAACTCCGTCTTTTTCCACACAAGCACGTATGATAGCTTGAGACTGACTGCAAAAGGAGCTCCCACAGCACCACTGAAATGTTGCATAAATTTGAATAGCTGATTTGGGGTCTTAGTGTGACCACTATTGTTGTGGAGTCTGTAAATGTGTAGATTTTTTCACCTCCCTGCTCTGAGAAAAAGTGATTGCAAAACTAGATATAGCATGTGAACTCTCTCAGTACCACATGAATCTACTAATGGGCTTTTTAGATGCAAATTACATCAGTTACATCTCTTTTCTAAAGCCAAGGCGATGTTTCAGATTCACTTCTATTTCTTCTTTATCCTTGCTGTATACCTCTGTCCCTTGCCGGTCAGCTGGCGCTCGGGGTACAAGCTGCCTGACACCATACTAAATTTTCTGGTGATGTTACCTGGTTGGTTTGTTTGTGGTTTGTTTTTTTTTTTCAAACTACTTGTTCTCTAAAGCTGCTTGTTTCTCCCTACTTTTAGTATTCCAGGCATCTCCGTTTCAATTTTATGCTTTTAATATTATGGACTGGCCTTCTTTCAGAACGTCAGTCTGAGTTGCCAACGCAGAGCAAGGCCAGCTTCCCCAGCATTCTCAGCGATCCTGACCCAGATTCTTCCAACTCCGGTTTTGACAGCTCCGTCGCCTCCCAGATCACGGAAGCCTTAGTGAGTGGGCCCAAACCTCCTATAGAAAGTATGTGCATTTTCATGTCTGTTTCTGTAACTTGTGGCATGTTGTGGTGTTACATTTCTCCAGGCAAAATGCAATTCAGAAGTATTTTTGAGGTATGAAATAGGAATGAAGATGAATGAAATGGTGCAAAACCATGTCAGGCTCTCTTCATAGAGTTGACATTTACAAACTTTTAAAAATCTGGAGCCTCTCCAAGCTATTGCCCGTGTCACCTGTTGGCTAAAACCCTGAGTAAACCATGTCAGGCTCTCTTCATAGAGTTGACGTTTACAAACTTTTAAAAATCTGGAGCCTCTCTTCAAGCTGTTGCCCATGTCACCTGTTGGCTAAAACCCTGAGCCTGATGCCACCCAGGTCTTAGTCCCCTGCACTGAGATCTTCAATGACTGTTACCCCCTTCCAAGGAAGCAGTTATTGTGGAAGGAAAAAAAGACTATGGAACCAGTAACTTAGTGATCTGAATCAAGAGAAAAAACAGGCTGATGTAACAGCATCACTAAAAATCAAAAATAAGTCTTTTTCCAGGACGCAGGTAGGATTCTAATGCTGTTTTCTGTTATAATAGCTTATAGAAATGGGAGTTTTGGGGGTTCACCTTCTCGTACTGATGCAAAACTGAATGCCCAAAGTGTAAAAAATGTTTCACGTTGTTGCTGTTTCAGGTCACTTTCGACCAGAGTTTATTCGACCACCACCTCCACTCCATATATGTGAGGATGAATTGGCGTGGTTAAATCCAATTGAGCCAGATCACACAATTCAGTGGGATAAGTCAATGTGTGTTAAGAACAGCACTGGAGTTGAGATCAAAAGAATCATGGCAAAAGCTTTTAAAAGTCCCTTGACTTCCCCACAGCAAACACAGGTCAGTATCACGCACTTCTCCGTCTAAAACTATTTTCTCATGCTTATTAACTCATTTATTTTAGAAAAATCGGGGCATTTTAATTGTTCTGCATTTGGATTCAGGGAACTCCAAGGACTTCAAGATGTAAAAATCCAAGAGTTTTGACTT